AACACTAGTATTTTATGATTTACAAGTGACTATGAATTTCATTTCAAATAGTAATATGACTTAAACATATATTAAACACAAAATAATATTCAAATGATTAATATACTAGTAAGAGTTTTTTTAAACATACATTAAAAATATTTGAGTAAATAAGTAATAGACATAAATGATTAATAAACTAATATTCATGAGTTTTTGAATAAATGCTACTTTAATCCTTAATGTATTCTATAAAATTAAAAATACTAGTGTTGTATAGACTTTGCTTAAATAGTAATAAATAGTAAATGCATACATCACTAGTTGGTTTTTGGAAACCAACTCTGTACGCCATTGATTTAGAGTATGCGGACAAAGTTTTGCTCATGGTGATTTTGTGTATAGTATTGTTCACTATAAATGTTGTACTATATCCTATTATAATTATACTTCAAATTAAGGCTTTAAAATTTAATGTTAATTAATATTATAATTGTATAATTTGAGACGATTTTTATAAATTAAATAAATATTAATTTGAATATTATAATAGATTTATGATATTTATGGTAATATTTGTTATAAAATATTTAAAACAAAATTAAATTAAACATTTAACTGAATTATCATTAATAAAACAGGTTAGTTTAATATTATATTTAATATATTTTAATTTCTACGAGTTTTTACTTTGTATTTTATTTATTCAAAAGTATTAACATGGTATATTCATCTGTGTGTGTGTGGCAAATATGGGTTACCAAATATGGGTTGCCAAATATGGACTGGTATTTGTGGTAATAATTATGAAACAAATTAAAATTTAAAAATCACTTTGATTTACATTAGACACTATAATATCTAATGTTAGTCAGTGTTTGTACAATACATGTGCTCAACAGACTATCAGTTAATGAAATTAAACTCAAATCTAATCTAATTATTCAATTAAATTGTTTGCAATGGATATGGAAATGGATTCAATGGGGTCGCTCTCACAGACAGCCACAGACTGTCCACCAATTGACACCCAATCCATACCTAAACATAAAATAATATTAAGATAATCATAAAATATTCTCCATATTTATTGAATTGTGTTTACTTAACATTTTAATCAATTTGGCTGCATTATTTGTACTAATGTGTAATTTAAAACAATTATAATTGAGCATGATGTTGAAATGTTAATAATTTTATTATTATGGCTTTTATATGGCGTTTGTTATCATGGTGTCGACGTATCTGTTATTGTTGTAGGGAAACATTGGCTCGAAATGGATTTGGCAATTATGATTATACTCACCGTTATATAAGCGACTACGACGACTATTGTAAATATTAAGATTTATATTATATATTCGTATAAAAATATTTTAGTATATGATTGTGGACAGTAATTAGGTTGACCAAACGTCTCGGTTTGACCGGGACATTCGGGAATTAAGTTATTGAAAATGATAAATTAAGGAATTAGAGATTATTTTTCCTGGTCATGTAATTGTCCTTAAATTTAAAATTTAAAAACTATTTGATAGTATATCACTACTAGTAGATAAATTTTCAAAATCTAACCACTTATTATTTAATGCATAAACGAACTAAATAGAGTTTATATTTATTTAACTCATTTTTTAAAGTTGAATTCTCAATATCACATATTGAACAAATGGAAAATGATGATATATATAGCGATAAATTTGAAAAAGCATTTGACCTATTAAGTAAGCTTGGTAAAGGTGGTTATGGAGAAGTGTATAGGGTCCAACGTAAATTTGACAATAAATATTATGCAATTAAGAAATGTACATTAAATGGTAGGTAGTAATACTTGGTAAATTAAAATTAATTCAAGTAAGCTTATATTTTAACTATTTTAGATTTAACAGAGACTGAAATGAAAAATGTATTAGATGAAACTAGAAAACTAATAAAACTTCGTTCAAAATTCGTTATTCAATACTACTATTCATGGATTGAATGCAATTATCTTTACATTCAAATGGAGTTATGTGTCGATAATCTCAGCAATCTTTTGCATACAAAAAAATCCCTATTTAATGAATTAATGATCAATTCGCAATTTTATATATTGTATGAAATATTTCGTGAGCTCACAGAATGTGTGCAATATTTGCATCAAAATAAGATCATTCACAGAGACCTTAAACCGGATAATGTGTTGATTTCAATGGACGGACGCATAAAGTTATGTGACTTTGGTTTGTCTAAAGAAGTCTTAAATTGTGACCCGTTTCGTATGTCTAAAGTGAAACATACGGCAGATGTGGGAACTGATGACTATATGGCACCGGAAGTCCAGACTAATGAATACAACCATTTGATTGATATCTACAGTCTTTCCCTAATTGGGGCTCAAATTTTTGGCTTCAATACATACGATATTATTGACGGAAAGTATGTTTTTAATGTTCATTGTTTTAAGAAACAAGGATAATTAAGTTTTCTAATCTTAGGACAGACTTAACCGGAGATTTTAATATTAATTTTAATGATTTCATGCATGAAATGAATGCATTATTGGTGTCAATGAGTGTTAATATGTATTCACAAAACGGTTCAACAGATTGGAGGCAAAGACCCGAATGTTCGCACATTTTATCGCAATTACAGACATTTATGATTAAACCTAATGTTCCTGAAAATGAATTCAAACTATTATTGGAGACAATTATTGACAGCAAATGTAATATATTTTACAAACTATTTATGGAATGTAAACCAAGGTGTATTATTCGAATTAATAATAATAATATGGGTTAGCTATTTTTATTCAATTTGTTCTTATAAAATGAATTATATTTAATTTTATAGAGCAACATGAAATAAATTGGTCAATGTATGAAGTAGTCGATAAATATACCGTGATACATAAAATTACCCGGAACATGCATACATTATTCAGAATACCTACATCTGGTATATTTATAATTTAAATTAATTATTTATATCTTAAAATACGAATTATATAACAATTTAAATATCATTTTAATAAAATAGATAATCCGAGAGAAATGAATAAATTATTGGTTGATATCCAAGGGTCATGTCACTTAAAATCTGATCACACGATTGAATGTTACAATTCATGGATTGAAGATAACTGTATATTCATTGAAACGGAATTATGTTCCCTCAGTCTCTATGATATTATTAAACGTAAAAATGAAATCTTCAAAAACGAGACCTCCGTTGACATGATTTGCATAGATTTCTACATATCGTATGAATTAATGCGAGAATTCTTGCAATGTGTTCAGTATTTGCAATGTACACTGGCTGATACAGATACTAGTATATATGAAGTTAATTGTCATAGGATATTGACTACTAATATTATTAGAAATGGCAGGTGCATTCGAGTAAATACTTTAAACCATCATTCACTTTCAATATTTCAACGTTATAGAACTCATCAAGTTATTGAAGATTTATTTGGACCAATTATAACAATGTAAGTAAAGTTATAATATATTGAAAATCAATAGTAATAAAACTAAATACTGCATACATTTTAAAGGGCTATCATTCCTCAAAATTTGAAGATACATATAAATAATATTAAGGATCTTTTAACCACCATGAACACTTTTGGTAAATCTATTGGCAAAACCGAAACGGATGTATTGAATAAATTGATGGATATTTTCGCACATAATATACTAATTACTGGTGATATGATAGACACATTTCAAGCACACATCCAAACCATGGATTGCGATGAATATGACTATAATGTTTTCAGTGAATATCTTTTATCGAAACTAATTCAACAATCATATTGATATAGGCTGAAGGGGTTAAGCTATTTTAAGTATTGTATTAAACAACTACTCTAATTGTTATTACTAGCAAATTAGAGTTTTTTAGTCACAATGAAAGTTATAATTCAACAAAAATATATATATTAATTTTGTTGTTTTGAAATATGGTCTATATGACCACGGTAGTATCAATAGAGTTCTACTTATTGCAAGTTAATAGGCATATGGATTGGTACTGGAACTAATAAATAATGAGTGGGAAAGGTATATATAATGAGATTTAAAGTTTTAGTTGAAATTATATTTTATTATAGCATAGATATTCATTTAATTTATAATTAGCTTATTGGGAATAAACAAGATAATTTTTACTAATTTAAAATCAATTCATTATATTTTTAATTCTATTGTGTACTTGTAACTACATACTACTAGAAGTTTTATTATTTCATTTAAATATCATAATTAATGATTTATTGTATGCTTAAAGTTCTAATAGTATAAATTAACCAAGTTATAAATATATTTTATTTTTAATTAAAAATCCTAACTTTTATTTATTTAATCCTAACTTGTAACTAAACTTAAATGTTAATCACATTATACTCTATTAACAAATTGTTTGAAAATATACTGTTATAATATAATTAATCACACCCCGATCACCACTGTAGATCTCATGACCATTTTGCTGTGTTTAATTGAATTTCATTTAATTAATTATAAAAAACATCATTTGTTGTATCAATTCAATTGAATAGCTATTGGTTTGTAGTCAATGAGTATAAGAAATTCTTATTAAGAATAGAATTTTTGATTATTTTCTTTTTCACATTTTAAAAATAATAAAATTTTATTGTATTTAATCGCTAGAAACAGTGTATAACAAAATAATTGTATTGTATATACAAAACTTAATTCAAAATTTTAAAAATCTTTAACTAAAATTCAACAAATTATATCTAATATTAATTAACCCATAACAGGCATATACAGAATAGCCACAACAGTTTCGTATACAAATATTCTAACAATTTAGTATTTACTATGACATTTTAATATATTTGAATTAGGTTTGTGTATTATAAAAACAAACTTGTAATTATATTGGTGATTCATATTATTTGGTTATTATGAAATTAATTTATATTAATGTGTGTTTTATGTTTAACATAATTCTATACAATTTATAAAACTTGTACAAAATTATAAATTATAAATTAATAATTTATTATTTAAATCAAGCAAATATTTAATTTGTATTTTACTAAATTTACTTTATTTATATTGATAAAAATTATTTACAAATTACCGTGAATACTAATTGTAAGCTCATTACATCTCTTATGAATAAAAATATAATAAATACATGAGCAACTGTGTGCTAGATAATAATTTATTTAACCAATTTAACCTTAATAGCCTATTGTTTTATTCTAAAAATATTTTTTTGCCAATCCTTAGATAAAATTGATAAACTAAATGATTCACTGTTACACAATACACAAAATATCTCTAGGCAATTATCATCATTGATAATTGTTACAATAAAGTAAATAGCACATTTACTGTAATCTTATATATTTATACACAATAATTGTTTTAATTGAATCTCAGCTATCATAATAACATTTAAGTCATTATTAAAATAATGTTTGATTTATTTTAATTATTATTTAATAGGTTTAATAAGTAATTGTTATAGTATATTAATACTTGATTTTGTAAATATCTAATTACCGGTAACAAAGTATCACATATCTATGTCAATTATAACAATATATTTAAACATGTGTTTATAATATGACATCAGTTTTAAATAATTATAAAATTTGTGATACAATATCAGAAAATATAAAACAAGAAATTAAATTATTTTATATTTTCGATGACATTATCGGACATAACATACTGTTTGTGACATTTGATGACTTTGTATACGGATTGGGAACCAATAGCTCGGGTCAACTCGGGTTAGGACACAACACACCCATTGAAACACCACAACAAGTGATTGAATTAAACCATAAAAATATACAACAATTTTTCAACGGAGAAGACTTTGTATTGGCTGTCAATACGGATCAAAAGATATACAGTTGTGGTCGCAATAATTGGGGACAATTGGGACGGGATGTGGATAGCATGGGATACCATAAGCCAGACCATATTACATATTTTACCTCAAATCGCTTAATTATTGAAAAAATAAGTTGTGGTGAATATCACACTATTGTGTTAACAACTAGTGGACAGTTATTTGGATGGGGTGAAACTAAATGTAGAAAGCTATTTTGTGATAATGCTCATTTTAATATAATTTTTAACATTGATATGTCAATTGAATGTGAAATTAGCAAAATTGTATGCAATTATTGGACATCAATTGCAATTACATGTGAGGGACAAGTATACATGTGGGGGATATATGATGAGGGTAATATAAATATAAATGTACCGTGTTTAATTAATGATTCAACTAATATACAAAGTATTTGCTTAGAGTATGATGATATTTATTTGCTATCATACGATGGCTTAATATATTACTACGATTTTAATGATATATCAATGAAAATAATAACTCATATAGTATTCAATGAAATCAATCAAATGTATTCATACAAGGATTGCATACCAATAATAACGGGTAGATCTGGTGATAAAATATTTCAAATTATTTCCAAACAAATATTGGAAACCAATTATAAATCGTTTGATGACTACTATTCACATGAATTGCATATGACTTTCAATACAATCTCTACAGTTATTCACGAAAATGTTGAAAACATAATGAATGATAATATTGAAACTTGTGGTAAATATTTAACACATTGTATTGAATAAAAATAATATTTAAATTATATTTACAATTTAAAATATAGAAACAGACGGCCACTTATATGAATCAACATTTGATAAGTTTTTTGACGTGAAAAATAAGCTTGGTACAGGTGGTTATGGGGAAGTGTATAGAGTTAAAAATAAATGTGACAATAAATATTACGCTATAAAGAAATGTCAATTAAATGGTAAGTTATATAACTTATGTGATATAATTTAAATATAGTTATAATTATTTTATAAATTATTTGAAGATTTAACAGAAAAAGAAAAACAAAATGTTTTGAATGAAACCGAAAGCCTTATAAAAGTTCGCTCAAAGTTTGTAATTAAATACTATTATTCATGGATTGATTGCAATTGTCTTTACTTTCAAATGGAGTTATGTTTCGATAATCTCAACAATGTTTTGGAGATTAAAAGATCAATGTTTAAAGGATTGATGACTAGCTTAGAGCTGTATATATCGTATGAATTATTCAGAGAACTTACAAAATGTGTGCAATATTTGCATGAAATGAAACCACAGATCATTCACAGAGACCTCAAACCGGATAATGTGTTGATTTCAATGGACNGAGAACTTACAAAATGTGTGCAATATTTGCATGAAATGAAACCACAGATCATTCACAGAGACCTCAAACCGGATAATGTGTTGATTTCAATGGACGGACGCATAAAGTTATGTGACTTTGGTTTGGCTAAAGAGGTCCCAAATAGTGATCCGTTTCGTATGTCTAATGTTAAACATACGGCAGATGTGGGAACTCCTGATTATATGGCACCTGAAGTTCAGACTAATGAATACAATCATTTGATAGATATCT